TTGATGGAGGAGAGCCGGACTGTAATGACCCCAAACACCCGGATTCAATGGTGGCCTTCTGCGACGGAAGCGCTCTAAGAAATGGTCAACGTGACTGTGATGCAGCATACGCTTGTATCTTTCCGCATGACCAGGCGTCGAACGTTGTGAGAACACTTGATGGACCATGGGCGACGAATAACCGCGCTGAGTACATGGCTGCCCTCGCAGCTTTGGAGTGGGCTCGTTCTGAAGATCCGTACGAATATAAAAAGCTGTATATCTACTCGGACAGCAGCATGCTGGTCAATTCTATGACGAATTGGATCTACAAGTGGCAGAGGAATGGATGGATCACTGCGAGTGGCACAGAAGTAAAGAATCGCGATATCTTGGAGGAAATGCTGGACGAGCAAGGCGACCGTCAAGTGGTTTGGCGTCATGTGCATGCTCACAGCGGGGATCAAAACTGGGAGTCTTACTGGAACGATGTGGCTGACAGGAAAGCGCGTCGGGCAGCAAAGAACATGACCAATAGCTACTATTCATACTAAGACTGCCCCCGGCACGGCAGTACGTATGGTTGATGGCGTCAGAATCTACACACTTGGCCTGCCACGTTGCCAAACAAATTTTCCAATTTCCGTCAGGAAGTTTGACCAATACGAAGATATTTGGAAGATTTTTTATGTTTTTATGTCAGAGCATTTATCAGACGATTGGTTTAGTGCTGTAGCATTTACCGAGTATACGAAGCTATGACCATCGTTCAGTTCTTTTTTTTACGAAAGAGAGAAAAACGCGAAATCAAATGGGTTTGGTCTACGGATCTGCCTGACGCTATCGGCGAGATTAAAAAAAAGGAAAGTGGCGAAGAGAGAGCGAACCTGTGCAAGAGGAAGAGTACTGCCCTTGTGCAGCAGTAGGGCACTCTATCGACTTCAACCACGTTTACTTCAGGTGGAAAAGTCGGACAACCTGTATGGAATTTTTTTACGTCAATCACACCATGTTCGGCAAAAAAAAGATATCGTGCTTGATCCATCCAGCGTTTGACAGGCGCTGGATTTGTGTGCCCTCTGTGCTCTTTTGGTAACACACCTGAAAGCTATGACGATACCGCAACCACATCCTTCGGCGAGATAAACTGATTAATACATGCAACGTAACTGGATTTCCCACTGCTTCGACACCTACTTCTTAGTCATCCTCATTGCCATGAGTCACACCGCGGGCCTGGATTCTGGCAATATCATTCCAGAACGCATCCCAATACCGTTTTCCAGAGTTTGCTCGTACCTTACGCCACTGCACTCGTCGATTGCCTTGCGCCTTCATCAACTTCTCCAAAAGATCTTGATTCTGGATATCGAATCCGTCCACCGTTTTCCATCCATTATTACGCCACCGGTAAATCCATTTACTCATGGACTCAATCAATAGTTTACTATCAGAGTAAATGAATAGCACTTTCGTCTTGTCCCTGTCCTCAATATTGGCTCGTTCCATAGCAGCTAACGCTGCCATATACTCAGCTCGATTATTAGTCGCCCACGGCCCCTCAACCGATTCTACCACGTCCCAAGTTCGCTTATGCGGAAAAACACAGGCATATGCTGCGTTACAGTCCTCTTCTCCATTGCGCAGTGCGCTACCTCCACAAAATGCCACAATAGAGTTCGGATGCAGAGGATCTGGGAAGTCCCCGCGGCCTCCGTTCATTGCGTAGCCGAACCAAAGCCTTGAGCCGTCAAAATGCTCGTATTCGTGGTCAACTTGCAGCCCGTATTGGTTTAGGAACTCACGGGCTTCCTCAAAACTAGGGAATTTCTTGAATCTCGAGTTCGAGTACCCCCGCGTGTGTTTGAGAGCGTCCTTTACACTCGTGAAGATTCCTCTGCATCGACCGATCACCACAGCATAGTACCAATCCAAATCTTCCTCCTCGTCAATGTCCTCCATCTGCTCGTTGTCACTGTGTACACTCGAATCCCCGTACGCCATGTCGGTGCTGCTTCCAGAGCAGGAGGAGCTTGAAGACGAGTCGTAGTCCCAGCCCATTCTGAGAAATACACCGAAGTGGGACGAGCTACATATGTACGAAACATCAATCGGCGGTCGCATGAAGTATCGTAGGTTAGCGTAATCTTTAATCGGACCAATCAACAGTCAACAGTCTGCAACGTGGGGCACTACCGAAAACGTAAGCGGAATCGCGTCCCGGCGGTGGATCTGCGCATTCCTAAATCCACCGAGCTCCACACAGGTCAGTTCTCTCCTTCAATGAAACACTCGCTGGTTGTCTATCTACTCGCTGCATTCGTTTGCAGTTCCTCCGCCTCGTCAGTTGCCGAGGTGGAACTGGACGTCGAGGCTCAGTGTGTAGCTAACGGAGACGCCTGTGTATCCCCTCAGAACCCCATCAGCGCCACCCCCGCTCCCTCTAGCAGCTTCACCTTCACCTCCACCTCCGCCAACATGTTCAACACCCGTCGCATTGCCTTCAAGTTCATCGCTCGTGAACAAGGAGAGGGCGTCGGCGCCACGGTGCGACGCTCGCTGGGCTCCCAGCAGCTTCGCAATCTCGACCCGTTCCTTATGTTGGACGAATTCAACGTAGGACTACCCGGAGGATTCCCCGACCACCCGCACAGAGGCTTCGAAACCGTCACGTACATGCTACCAACGTCCAAGGGCCACATGCGTCACGAGGACTTTCTGGGCAACAAGGGCGAGCTCCGACCAGGAGATCTGCAGTGGATGACGCCTGGCAAGGGGATTTTACATGCCGAAATGCCTGCGAATGAGGAGAAAGCGCACGGTTTACAGCTGTGGATCAACTTGCCGAAAGCCAAGAAGATCATGGAGCCTAGATACCAGGAGATCAGTCGAGATACTGTGCCCCACGTGTGGGATGACGCTAAAAAGGTCGAGGCTATTGTGTTCGCTGGTGAAGTATTCGGTCAAAAGGGTCCGATTGAGACCGAAGCGCCCGTGACGTACATTCACTTCCTCATGAAGCAAGGAGCTGAGCTGGATTATAAGATTCCACATGGACACAACACGTTCGTGTACACGCTGACTGGCTCGGGCAAGTGTGCAGGTGAAGACGTCTCGGCTCACCACGCTATTGTCATGGAGCAGGAAGGAGATGGCGTGCATATGACTACGGACGATAAGGAGGGTCTTGAGTTTATCGTGATCAGCGGTCAGCCTTTGAACGAACCGGTGGTGCAGTACGGTCCCTTTGTCATGACCTCGGAGGATGAAATCCGCCAGACTATCCGTGACTACCAGAGTGGAGCCAACGGATTCGAGAACGCACCAAAGTGGACGTC